CGTGGCGACGTCCAGCTCACGGTGGGTTTGTTGGGTGGGGTGGAGTTTGGTTTTTTTTTTGCTTATTATTATTAAAAGAAGGTATCAGCCTTCTGTTTGATGTGCTGTTGGCTGTGGTTGCCAAGGAGAGCAGTGTACAGTTACAGCCCCAGTGATGTCCACTCTAATAATACCCTTGGCTCTGCATAGCTCAGATGCAGACACCGCTGGGCTATAAAGAGCACGGTCACTTCAACAGAGGAACACTCCAACTTATGTTACAGGGGAAGGGTTGGTGGCTTAACAACCCCCCTCTTGGAAAAAAAAAAAGCCAAACCCAACCCATCACAAGCCTGGACGTGGCACCCAGTGAAGCTGTGACAAGGAGAAAAAAAAAACCTCCCTCAGGAAACTGATTTTTGAATGGAGAAGGTATTTCTAAAGGGGTGAAGAAACCACCCAAGTGGCCACCAAAATCTTCTTGTGTGCCCCCGTCCACCCGAGCTCCCAATTCAGCCAGGTCCACTCAGAGCCCAGAATTTCTCCTTGTACCAAACCCCAAGCCCAACTCGATGAGGAGAAATTCCAACCCAAAGCCCTGGGGCCAAGCCCCCACGTGGCAGCATCTCCCCCAACCCAACCAGCCCCTCACCCCTTCCCGGGTCTCCCTTCAGCATCCGGAAGGTTTGCAGCACCCAAACTCAAGCTTCCACCAAAATTTGGGACCCAAACGCCCTGTGAGGGATAATTTCAACCCAAACTTTTCCCAATGGATCCCCTTAGAGCCTCAACTGTCCCCAGGCTGGCCTGGGGTGTAGGGATGGTGCCTCCAGGTGCTGGTGGGACAGCTCGAGGGGTTACAGCATCACTTGAGGAGACCCTCTGGTGGGGTCGAGCCGTTGCCATCGCAGAGCCGAGCGAGAGGGACAAACAAAGGCCCTCCAAAACAGGAGCATCTGCAGGAGCAGGTGGGAGGGGGAGTGATCCAGGCCCAGGCGCCAGCAGAGCTGAGGGGGGATCAGGTTGATCCCCATTTATCACACCCCGGCCAGCCGAGCTCCTTACGGCCGGGGATCGGATTAGTCTGGAAGGTGCCACAGAGACCTAAATCCAGCTCTGGAGCAGGAGGTTACAAAAGGGGGTTGGGTTTGGGTTTGAAATGAACGGTACAGGATGTAGGAGCAGCTGGTGGAAACACTCTGAAGGTGGAGGGGGCAGGACTGGAGCTGGGAGATCACAGCGTCACACACTGGTTTGGGTTGGGAGGAACCTTGAGGAGCATCTCCTTCCAACCCCCTGCCACGGGCAGGGACACCTCCCACTAGAGCAGGTTGCTCCAAGTCCCATCCAAACTGGTCTGGGATACCTCCAGGGATGGAGCATCCACAGCTTCCCTGGGCAACCTGGGCCAGGGTCTCACCACCCTCAGATTGAAGAACTTCTGAATTTCTAACCTAAATCTCCCCTTTTCCAGCTTAAAGCTGTTACCCCATGTCCTGTCACTACGTGTCCTTGCAAAAAGTCCCTCTTCAGCTTTCTTGTAGGCCCCTGCTAGGTACTGTAAGGCCACAAGAATGTTCCCTCATCAATCAATATATGGAATCACAGAATGAATCACGGGCTGGTTTGGGTTGGGAGGAACCTGGATGGCATCTGGATGACAGCCACAGGACTCCATAACATCCATAAATTATCCAACAGATCATATTGATCTTGATAAGATACCACATCTCAATACCACCAAGCCCTTCATGTCACACCAAAGCAGCTTCAACAGGTCTTCTGTTCAAGCCTGAAGGAATCAGGAAAATTCCCAGTTTAGGGCTCGACCAAAGGATTTGAGAAATCTGTGAGTTCTTCTGATTATTTTGGTTGGAAAAAGCAACTGTGCTTGGAGAAAGTCAAAATCCTTCACTACCAGAAAGGAAATGTTCAGGTATTGAATTTCACACAACGCTTTGCTTCTGACCCGGGGTGATCTGTCACCTTTTGCCCCACCAAGACGTTCTCCAACCAGTCTGAGGCTGAGCAAATCCCTTTTGGATATTTTAATCTGCTCCAGCACGTGAACTTGGCCACCCCCACCCCCTGCTTGGGTTGTCCACTTCATTTCTGCCCAGCTTTCCACAGGGGACATCACGGTCCCATCACACCGAGACTGGCTGCCCATTCTTGGGAAGCACTTTGGGACCCTCTGGAGCTAGGAGGGAAGTTATTTCTCCTGAATTCATGCTACAAAGATTCTACTGGGTCTGTTGGCAGAGGTGGGAATAGAATCAGAGAATTGTTTAGGTTGGAAGAGACCTTTCAGATCATTGAGTTCAACTTTTAACCCAACACTGCTAAGCTATGTCCCTCAGCACCACATCTCCAGGGCTTGGAAACCCCTCCAGGGGTGGGGACTCCACCACTGCCCTGGGCAGCCCTTGCCAGGGAGGACACTTTTCCTCATGTCCAACCTAAACCTCTCCTGATGCAACTTGTGCACTCCTTGCAAGGAGCTGTGCAGAGCCAGAAGGTCTCCCCTGAGCCTCCTTTGCTCCAGGCTCAGCACCCCCAGCTCCCTCAGCTGCTCCTCCCCACACTTGGCCTCTAGACCCTTCCCCAGCAGCTCCGTTGCCCTTCTCTGGCCACACTCCAGCCCCTCAAGGTCCTTCTGGGAGGGAGTGTTCCAAAACTGACCCCAGGATTTGAGATGTGGCCTCCCCAGTGCCCACTCCAGAGGGACAATCCCTGCCCTGCTCCTGCTGGCCACACCAGTGCTGCTCCAAGCCAGGCTGCTGGTGGCCTCCTTGGCCACCTAGGCACACGACTAGGGCAAGAGAAGAAAGCAAAGCAGATGACATGTGTGCCAAGCACAGAACTGTGTAGGTTGGAAAAGGCCTTTAAGATCATTGAGTCCAAACATTAACCCAGCACTGCCAAGTCCACCACGAAACCATGTCCCTCAGCACCACTTCTGCAGATCTTTTACATATGTCCAGGGATGGGGATTCCACCACTTCCAACCACTTTGGGATGGCCAACTGGAAACTTGTATTAAATTAAGGATGTAAGTTCTTGGTTTCAGCTCTATCAACCTTGTCTCCAGAAAGGCAAAGGTCCATGTGACACCCTCCCCTGAAGGCAATCCCCCCCTGAGATGCTGGCAGCACCATAGAACACACTCCCCCTTCAGCAGACCGTGGGCAGGTGAGGACAGTCCTGTTTCTCCATCATACATCATTAGCATGGACCACTCACCAAAGCCACCACTTCCTTCTTCCCTCCAGCTTTGCTGTCCCTGATGGTTTTGGAGCTCAAAAACCAACCAGTGCTCTGCACACCAATAAACAAGTAGCAAATACACAAACTATTTCAGGCTGGGTTGCAACCAGAAACCAGAGACAAGCCCTTCAGCCACGGGATGCAACCAACAACCTTCTGAGGAACCATGATTGAACTTATCTTTGGTCCAGAGATGGACTTCAGCCAAAACTGAGTGGCCAAGACCCTCCAAGTTCCCTCCTCTTCATGCCACGGGGACGCGGCCACAAGCACCCCACTCGTTTCACAGCTGGGTCCTGCTGTGAGATTTCCACACTCAGCTCATGCTTTCATCTCCTTACCTGCAACATGTTGAGGAGCAGACTCCTGAATTTGGTTCCTTCCACCATGAAGAGGGCCATTTTGTCACAGAGCTTGGCCGCCGTGGAGGCGAAGCTGCGGTCCGTCACCGCTTTCTGGTAGATGGTTTTGACTATCTCCCCCAGCATCTCCTCAGAGTTGGTAGAGTTCTGAGCCTCCTCCATGAAGTTGGTGAGCTTGGAGTCAACGTCGCTGCTGTTGTTCCTCATGCTGTTGAGGATTTCTATCAATTTGTCCATTTTGTTCTTTTCAGGGTGGGTGGTTTCCACCGTGACTTCGTCCTGGTCCGCGAAAAGGGAAAGACAAGGCGTCTGTTACACAAGGAAAAAACAGAGAGATCAGCCCTTGTCCTTCCACAAACAGCAAAAGGGGGAAGGGGATTGGGGAGACATAAAAACAGACATTCAAACAAACAGCAAAGCAACTTTTAGAAGCACAACGCTCTCATCTCAGCATTGAAGACCCCAAGGGCACGAGTCCTGCCCCAGCAATATTCTCCATCCCCACCACCTACAAAGCTCCACCCCAGAGTCCTCCCCCTTGGATGATGGAGAAGATGTGCTTGAGGGTCCTGAGCCAGGATGCCCAAGGTCTGACCACTCTTGACAGCCTTGGGCATCTTGGCCAGGTTGTCTACAACGTGGTGAGAATGGACATTTTTTTGGCCTCTGTTTTGAAAGCCCATTGTTGTCACTTCATGTCATTACCATAGAATTTATTGCTTCTTTTCAACATTGAATCATTTATTTCTCCCTTTCCCCCAAAACACGGATCCTGCTTGCTCTGGTCTGCTCTCTTTTCCTCCTCTAGCTCACTCTTAAAACCTGGAACATGATACAAACCTGTAGCAGTTCTTTGGACAACTCCAATGCCAACCAGCAGTTGAGAGTTGTCCAAAACTCCCATCAGGAGGGTTGACAACACCCACCCAAGGTTGGGTGCTTATGTGACATGTTTCTTTTAAGGGGTAGGGTCCTGCAAGTGGGGAGGAAGAACCCCATGCAGAAGCAACCCCCCGAGGCGGGAGGACAGGGGAGGGGGGACCTGCTGGAGAGCAGCTCTGTGGAGAAGGACCTGGGAGTGCTGGGGGACAACAAGTTGCCCATGAGCCAGAAACGGGCCCTCATGGACAAAAAGGCCAATGGGATCCTGGGGTGCATG